CCAACTCAGGTTCCTTCAGTGTTGTTTCAGAAACTGTATTGGATTTGTCCTTCTACATAACATTCTCATTGAAAATCACGTTCCTGCTCCTTATAATCTTCCGACTCTGATCATCTCAGAAACGATATCCAAATGCCTCATCTCCATAGTCAATGAAATACCACTTCCTTGACTTAGCCTCAAGCTTATTACGAGCATCAAGATTAATGAGAATATAAGAACGACAACCAAAAGTCTTAAAGTGAGAAAATTTTACCTCTTTCCCACTCCAAACTTCTTCAGGTAATTCACAGTTTAATGGAACAGATGACCTCCTATTGATCAAATAAACTGCAATACTAACCGCTTCTGCTTAGAAAGTAGGTGGTAGTCCGACGTGCAATCTCATGCTTCTAGCCCGCTCATTAATGGTCCTGTTCATGCGCTCTGCAACACCATTTTGCTGTGGTGTTCCTGGAGTGGTCTTCTCCGTTCTGATTCCCTGAGCAGCACAGTACTCCTTGAACCCACCATCAATGTACTCACCACCATTATCAAACCTCAGACATTTTAGCTTTAAGCATGTCTGTCTCAACCAGAACCTTCCAAGTCTTGAACACACTGAATACATCAGATTTATACTTCAAGAAATAAACCCATACCTTTCTGCTGTGATCGTCAATGAATGTGATGTAGTAACGAGAGCCTCCAAGAGATGCCACTAGAGAAGGTCCCCACACATCTGTGTGTACAAGATTCAACTTTCTTGCCTTTGGCATTTTGCCACCTTTCAAGAAACTGACCTTCCTCTGCTTCCCCATAATGCAACTCTCGCACATGCTGAAATCAACTGACTTCAGTTCTAGTAGAGTAGCTTGCCTCTGGACTCTCTGGACTGAAGTACCTTCATACCTCTTTGACTCGTGTGACCAAGTCTGCAATGCCACAACTTTGCTGTGCTCTCTGCAACAGTAGTATCAACACTGTTAATTGAACAAGTAGTCATATATAACGTACTTGTTTTTTTACCCAGAGCTTTCTAGGTGTTATTTGAGAAAAATATTGAATGTCCACATTCATCAAGCTGCCCAACAGAAATGAGGTTCTTTTTCAGTTCAGGAATGTGTCTGACCTTTTGCAGAGTCCACTTGTTGTTATTTGGAAGTGCAATGTCAATATCTCCCATTCCTACCACATTCAGAGCTTCTCCATCTGCTAGATATACTTTTCCAAAGTCACCTGCAACATAATTCCGCATCAATTCCCGATGGAAAGTTGTATGGAACGAAACTCCTCATTCCAGTATCCAATCATCAACAGGACTATGAATTGCCAGCAGTAGTGCATCAAGTGATTCTTCAGCTACCACATTCGCACTTTCAATCTCCTTCTTCTTAATATTCCTGCAGTTCCTCCTTATGTGGTCAGTTTTGCCACAATTCCAGCAAGTTACTTGTTTACCAGACCTTGACTTGCTCCTGCTTCTGTTCTTTGATTTTGATATTCCCCTATTTGAGTTCCTGTCAAGTGATCTCTCACTGGAATCAACATTTAGTGCCGAACTCGAACCTGAGATCTCATCAGAATCTTTTATCAGAATCTTTTCTGCCAAAATCAAATCACGAATATCTTCAAATTTCAGTTTAGATTTACCTGCAGAATTACTGACAGCCATCCTCATAGCTTCCCAGCTATTTGACAATGAAACCAACAAGATCAGTGCACATATCTCATCATCAAATTCAATTTCCACAGACGATAATTGATTTGTGATGGTATTTAAATCATTCAGGTGTTGTACAACAGAGGTACCTTTCGCCATCTTCAAATTGAATAACTTCTCATTAGATATACCTTGTTATTCGCCAATGGCTTTTCATACATACCTGACAGGGCTGTCATAAGATCTGCAGTCGTCCTCTCCTTGACGACGTTGTGTGCAACGGACCTCGATAAGGTCAATCAAATAACCCTCAAAACCTGTCGATCCAACAAATTCCATTCAGTCTCATCCATTCTTTCAGGTCTTTTCCCTAATAATGGAAGATGGAGTTTCTTCCCATAGAGGTAGTCCTCTATTTGCATCCCAAAATATCTGTGCCATCGAACTTCTCGATCCCTGAAATCTTCATTTCGTCTGTAGCCATTGACTCTGATACCAGTTTTTGTGTTGTTGTGATATATTTGAAACGATCGACGACGAAGTGAAAAATAGCACGAGAAAAATTTACACCAGAAAAGAACACACAGATTTACGTGGTTTGACAAATTGCCTACACCCACGGAGTTGCAGAGGATTTTACTAATTAAGGAACTTACACCAGTCAATCACCTCGACTTACAAGAGGAATCTCTCACTCTTCGTTGCTCTCTCTGTTCTTCTCTCTGAAGAATAAATACGTACAAGAGAAATAAACTCAATTTCTCTTCTGTCACAAGTCACCACGAAGAAGCCTAGAGAGAACAATCTTCTTCTTTCTTCTTCCTTCTGCCGCAAGGAACTACTTCTTGCACTTCTCTTCCTCTGCCTCGAGGAAACTTTTCTCTATCCCGAAGAAAACCAAAGAAAAACACCGTGACTTCTCGTTAAAACTGAATGAGAGCCGCGCGAAGCTTTTTATCGCCAACAGGAGGGAGCGAAGGGTCGATTCACGAACGTGAGCGGGAGTTGGCGGGAGAGGTTCCCGACGAATCGCTGGCGAAGCGACGGAAAGCTTCGCGCGCGCCAGTGTGCGGAGGCGGGATCGCGATCTTCGCTATCGGGAGAGCGAGAGCGGGACGTGGTTCGAACCGGGCTCCAGCGCTAACAGGAGGATGACTGGCAGATTCAGAGGTCATGGAATAAAAGTGGAAATAGGGAACTAAGATATCTAAATCCTCAGATATGCTTCGAAGGTCTAAAAATTAAGCTGCCAGAATACTAGCTAATGCTAATGACGGAGCTTCTTCTATGCTTACAAGTAGGAGTAGGTCCATTAAAATTGTTTAATTCACTAATTTGGAATGTTAAGGGCATTATAAGATGTTATGTCTCTAACAGATTGGTGAATCAATGTAAGATTCACAAAATCAAATGTTTTGCTTTATTAGAGCCTTTGATATCTCTAGATTATATTCCTAGAGCCGTTAGAAGATTGGGAAAATATAATTATGTCCATAACAGTAATCTTAAGTTCGGGTTTCTTCAGAAACACAAATTAAAAGTTAAACTGTTAGTGGACAATTATTAGTTTTTACATTTAGAAATCTTTTTTCTGAAGTTAACGTTCAGTTCACTTTTATTTCAATTATGGCTGAATTTGGGGGTTAATAAAACTCAATTTAATGATCCATGGACAGTTGAAGGAGATTTCAATTTAATTGCTTCTCCTTCAGACGAAAAAGGAGGAAGGACACCATGTCAAAGAAATATAGTAAGGTTCAAGGGTAGCATTAGGGAAACAGGTTTGTTTGAAGCAAGAGTTTATGGTTGAATCTTTACATGGCGAATAGGGAAAATATTTGAAAGGCTTGATAGAATTTTGATTAATAAAAAATGGATGGATGAGTTCCAATATACTTAGGAAGATCACCTGAATAGAACTGCTTCAGATCTCAATCCGTTACTCTTGAAGGTTAGTGAGATTGAAAAGTTAATTGTTAAATAGTTCAGATTTATTAATGCATGGGTTAAACACACTAATTTTTTGGACTCTATAAAGGAGCACTGGAACTTTGATATTTCTCATCATCCTTGGATTATTCTTTGGGAGTTACACAAGAAGAGGGTAAGGCACTTAAAATATTGGAATTCAGAAACATTTTGGGATGTCCATAAAAATGTGAATGAAGCTGAGCTAGTTTCCATATTAGAAATTGAATTTATTAATGATGAGGTGCAAGAATGTGATCTGATATGGCTTAGAATTCACTTATGGAGGCAAATCAAGTAGATATGGATTTCTGTGAACAAAAACTGCTCATCTTAGCCATAAAGAAGGAGATAGAAATAACAATTTCTTTCATGCTTGTATTAAACAAAGAAAGGAAGAAAATATAATTCTTAAATAAAGGAAAAGTTTGGAGTTTGAATAAAGTCACAGCAACTTATTATTGATAGTTCTATAAATAATTTATAGGAGTTGTTTAAGGAAAAAACCAATTTCAATGAAGAACTGATTCTGATCTTATTCCTATAATGCTATTGCTAATGATCCTAAATTATCAGAAGTCCTAAAAAATGTTGAAATTGCATATGCTTTTAAAGAGATTGATATTGATAAAGTGGCTGGCCCTGATGGGTTTATAACAGCCTTTTATGTTCATGACTGGGAGATTATAAAGAAAGATGTTATACAAGCTGTCCAATAATTCTTTACAGGTTCAATTCCACACAAGTACAATAGATGATCCACCATAGTTCTCATTCCTAAAGAAGGGGTAAAGGATAAGTGGTTGAATTTCTGACTTATAAGTCTTACAACTGTTATTTTTAAACTCTTTAGCAAGATTATAGTTAAGAGATTGCACTCAAACAACTAGCATATGTGGAAATTACAACAAGCTTTACCTGAAGTTATTGTAAAGATTATTTCTAAGATTCCTATTGAGAAAAGTTTGTAGGATAGACCTTAGCACAAAACAACTTAAAACTATCTCCTAATTGATGCTATTTATAAGGATTTGTATGGGAATCAAACCATAAATAAGGGTAATCTTAGCTGGAACAATTTCATGAAACCTTCACAATCCTTTTTTAGTTGGATGATGAGGTTAAAAATCCTTCCAGTGGATAATCTTCTCAAGCTAAAGGTCCGCCGTTTTCCCTCAATTTGTCTACTTTGTAGACAAGATGAAGAATCTTTCTCACATATCGATTATTTCTGCATGTGTACTTTAACTGTTTGGAAGTGATTTTGTTGGCCTTATGGTATTTTTATGTCTATCAATGGTTATGCATCAATGAAGCAATATTTGGCTAATAGGCATTCCATTGATTCGAATTTTGAGTAGCTAAACTTATTCTATACATTTGTCGCTAGTTGATATGGATGGAAAGCAACTACATGAAGCATGAAGGGAAGCTGCACTCTACTGAAATCCTTTAATTGTAAAGCGCTTTAATGGAATAAATTTATTGTGGGAAATCAATTGGGGGGATCCAGGGGCTAGAAAGGAAACCCAGTTTGTCAACTTAATCGGGTGGAGTGGACTAAACAGAAATTGTTGAAAGGTAAATGTGGATGGAAGCTATAAAAAAAGAAAGCTGGAGTTTTAGGGACCACAAGGGGAAATATAAGATTGGTTTTGTTGCTTCTGTTATTCCAATTAATTCTCATTACTCTGAATTGGTGGCTATTTTGCACAACTTATTAATTGCTAAAATATTAAGAGTTTTCTCTTTAATTATTCAGGTGGATTCTTTGATCACAAATCAAATATGTGTTGGACTTATTGCCTGTTCTTGGTATAATATATTAATTTGGAGAAGGATTTTGGTATTATTACAGTATTTTACTATTAGATGGTCTCACATTAGTAGAAAAGCCAATGCCTACTGATCTCTTGCTTGGGAGCGGAAAGAAATAATGATGTATTTAGTCAATCTTATAGCAGAAAGCTTTTTCTTCTATTTTTGGGAGAACTAGTTGATCTTCCTCATGTTTGAGTTTCTCATTGAGCTTTATTTGTTGTATTTTTCGAACTTATTAATAAAGCTTATTCGTTGCTTAAGATATATATATATATATATA